AAGCTGCGGCGTCGCTGCATGCAGACGCTCGGCGTCTCCGTGAAACAGTTGAGGAGAAAGCTTCTCGAGCTTGGCGCCCGGATCCTCCACGTTCAGGGCACGAAACCGCGCGACATGGCCTTGGTGGTAGGTTTCACGTATAATATCCGAGTCCAGATACTCTTACACCTATGGCCCTCAGAGCCTTTATAACCTTACGGTCTTATACGCCAGTAACTTTATACGCCAATCGTACGAAGGAACTATGAAATTCTATCGTACAGAAAATTGTACCAACGTTACTTTTGCTTCGACCTGTACCAAGCCAGACTCCGTTAGTACCTAGGGTTACACCAAGGACCCGTCAGCTGCTCACTACCAGGAGGGACTGTCCCACAAAAATTGTCCATAGCAAGTGCACCTTTAGAATTCCCAACCAGTCCTCTACTCGATTTATTCCACCTTTAGCTGCTAGCTCAGTCGCCACGGACAGAGTGAGAAGACCCAGACTTTCAGTCTCGAGTCACTGATTGCGAGTAAGACAATCCGACCTGGAGAAAAGATAGGAAGGCAGAAGAAGCCATGAGACTATAGAGATCAGGTAGAGAAGTCAAGAGTTAGTGATACTTGGAGAGGCCGTTACACTCTTCGGCTCTCGTGTTTCTTCCAGTTTCTTCCGTCTGGCCCAGAATGCGATTCAGGCTTTCACTGCAGTTTTCTCGTCTGGTTTGAATAGCCCCTCCTCTCTCTCTCTCTCTCCCTCCATTAAACACACAGTATCCTATATCTGTATATATATCTGTATATATAGGCAGATATATATATATACATCTTAACCCGATCCTCTCTCGTCCCTCTCGAATACTTTTTAAATGACCAACTCCTCCCTCTGACAATCAGTAGAAGTCTAGGAAAAAGTTTCTACTCCTTTCTCAATACCTCTCGAGATTGGCTTATTCCAAGTAACTCGGTAGGCCTTGCAGCTCAGACATCCTTCAAGTATTTTTATTGTCTGATAAATTTTTCGAAGGCCTATCTACCACGATAACGTATCGTCGAAGACTGATAGCAAATCGTTAGAAATTTCCCCTCCCCCCCCCTCCGACCTTAACAAATTTTTTGTATACAATTATTCCTATAATCTTCATCTTTCCGTATCTTACCATCTTTCGAGAACTATCTAGAAATTCATCCTCGACTTCCTCAAAGAATCTGATACTGTAGAGTGTCCTTGATATAGTTCGGATAAAGTAATGTATGGTTCCTTGTTACAAGCGCCGGACGCGGTAATTGGCCTCGCGACGCCCGGCGACGTCCAGCCAGCGGAAAGTTATCTGAATCACGCGTGAAACGCGAACGTTTTAAAGGACGTCTTGTAATTAACTGTCTAGACGCGGTCGCCTATTATCTAAGTCTCATTAGCGTTATCTACGGCAAACGGGAAGTGCCGACTGGAAGTTACGTAAGTCCGTGAGCGTTTTGTGCGGGTTTCTCCGCGTCAGTGTCTGTGTTACGTGTTCGTGTCTCTCGGTTTATTATCGAGTGTTTTATGTAGTGTCGTGTTAAAAAGAGAAAAAAAAAACTTTCCCGACTCGCATCAACGTCCAGGACACTCCCAGTGGCCAATCGAAACGGAATACTCGATAAAAATCCAAAAATTCGACTCGATCGACGGAATTCCCGAAATTCATCGTTCCCAGCATTCCGTGACCCGTTCGGATTACGCGATCGTAACATAACCTCCATAACTTTGCCCACGCACGTGCGTACCGCGAAGTCCCTCACGCATGCCATTCCCAAATTTTTTTCTTCCTTCTCCTCCACGCCTCTGTCAACGGCAGACTTTACTCGGATATGGAGCGAGCAAACAATGACGGAATACCTCCTTACCGCACGTGACTTACTTTGCGACTGGCTACAGATTTGCGTCATACTGTAGACAGACTTGCTTAATACGTCTTACCTTTGTCTTTCTATGTTTACTCGGTAGACTTTGTTACGTCACTCGGGACAATGACTATTTTTACTCTTAATCTTGGATTTGACTGCTTTTCGAATTTTTGTCAAAAGATTAACTTTGACTCGCAGTTATTTCTCTCACCAGACTTCCAAGGGGCAGCGGTGGGTTCGAGGCTTAATTCTCTTACAGAACCAAAGCTAGCTTCGCTACGATGCAACGTATATACGTATACACGTTATATTTTACTTCGAGAAGTCTGGCAGACCGAATTCATTCGCTTAGCCGACCAAAGGAGTACCTATTGGTACGCAGCTTGCTAAAAGAGAATCTCCTTCTATATGAATTTTCTGATACGAGACGCGCATTGCGTCATGCATTTTAGTTTTGCCGTAACGCTGCTTCAGGAAGGTCACACCGATTCGGTTGAATTATTACCTCGGGTCATTGAGTTGTTGTGTCTGGACGTTGCGACATGACACCGGAGGAGCCGACTTTCATTTATAGACTAACGACGATAACGTTAATTAGTACCTTGCTGACGCAGTTCTATATCCGTCGTGTTCGCTGTATCACCTTCGACCCTTTGTAACACGCGTTATATACACCTATAACTAATTCAGTCGCGTTATTCAATAATCTTTCCTGTCTAGACTCCGGCCGTATTTTTCCTTCGGTTTCTCAGGACGCGATAACGCAATCGGCTTACATTAACGGAGGAAGACGAAGACGAAGAAGAACAAGAATTTATATACGTTCGACCAGTCTGCCACGGAGATTAGTCGGGACGAGTTTTTATTTTTCACGTCTCAACAAATGTTTTCGTTGTGGCAGCGGTAAAGCGTGCTTTACAGCGGCGTTGAACGGACTTGTCCAACTGCATGTTTGCTGTCTAGTCAAAGAGATTAAACGATCGCGCGTCTTTTATAAATATCACCAGACCAATACGTTTGTCTCTCTCTTTATACATATGTACATATACATCTCTATATATATATATATCTCTCTCTCTCTCTCTCCCCCCCCCCCCTCCCTC